TGTATTTTATACATAAAATTGTATACCTAAATTCCTCTTCTAGGTGAGGAAATCTGACAAGGAGAGAGCTGAAATATATGGAATTAACTACCAGGGCTAATACTAATATAAAGCAAAAGAAAAGATGATTTCCTCCACAACTATTCTTAGTATAAACCAACTTGAACAAATTTTCCAATCATACAATTATTAAAAGGAATTAGGAAAAATTCCCAGGAGTTAGGAAATGACCAGGAAAGGCAAGAATCTACCACTGAATGACCTTACAAGCAATGTAAAATTAAAGTAATATATTAACTCTACAATGGACTTATAAACAAACACCCAATAAATGAGATTATTCTTATCCTTTGTTAGTCTTAATCTTTAAAGTTATGACAGAGTTGGGGTGCTTGAGTGGCTCAGTCACTTAAGCAGCTGACTCTTAATTTCTGCTGAGGTCATGATCTCATGTTTTATGGAATACAGCCCTGAGTTGGGCAGAGCCTGATTGGGATTCTCTCTCTCTCCATCTCTGCCCCTTCCCTGCTCTCTCTCTCTCTCTCTCTCTCTCTCTCTCTCAAAATAAATAAATAAACTAATAAAGTTATGACAGGGTTCATGCATTATATTCTTTAAAATGTCTTTTTTCTTGCTGAAAAGCCAATAGATAATTAAAATTATCTCAAGATGTTTTTGAAAATTTTTCAACAACTAAAATCACATTTTTTTACTTAAAATTGTTTAATGCTTATTTATTTTAGAGAGGGGTGGGGAAGGGGCAGAGAGAGAGAGAAGGAGACACAGAATCTGAAGCAGGCTTCAGGCTCTGAGCCATCAGCACAGAGCCAGAGTCCGCTCAAACTCAGGAGTGGTGAGATCATGACCTGAACTGAAGTTGGATGCTTAACCGACTGAGCCACCCAGGCATCCCTAAAATCATAGTTTTTAGCATAATGACTATTTTCCTTTTTAAAAACAAGTTTATTTAGTTTTGAGAGAGAGAGTGGGTGTGAGCAAGGAAGAGGCAGAGAGAAATGGAGAGAGAATCCGAAGCAGGTTCCACACTCAGTGCAGAGCCCAACTCAGGGCTTGAAGTCATAGACTGTGAGATCATGACCTGAGCCAAAATCAAGCTTAACCCAACAAGCCACCCAGGCACCCCAGTGACATTTTTTTTTAATGACAATTACATGCTCCCTGAAATATATTCAAGTAATAGAAGTATATAAAGGAAAAGGGAAAGTGTACCTTTACTCTCCCATTCAGGAGTAAGTACTGTTAACACATCCACCTTTTTCCTTGTATACGTACACACCTACTATTTTGTCTTTTTTTGCTACCAATTAACGTTTTGTTGTAAACATTTTCCCATGTTTCTGCATAATTGCTATTTTTTTAAATGCTTATTTATTTTTTTTTTGGGTGTTTTTAGAGAGAGAGAGAGAGAGAGAGAGAGAATCACAAGCAGGCTCCATGCTGTCAGTGAGGAGGCCCAGGTGGGGGCTCGATCCCATGTACTGTTGAGATCATGACCTGAACCGAAATCAAGAGTCAGAAGCACAACCTATGGAGCCACCCAGGTACCTTGTGTAATTGCTATTTTAAAGGCTACATAGCATTCCTTTCTGTGCATGTAGTAATCAGAACTCTTAACTATATCAGCACCCAACTTATACTAGTTAAAAAAACAACAACAGGGACTTAATGGTTTGTGTAACTGGATTGGGCATGGCTACAAGAGATGTTAAATATGACTGGACCCAGGTCTCAAACAATGTTTTCAGGAATGTGCCAGCTCTGTCTCCCTTCATCTGTTGCCTCTGCTTCTGTATTGGCCTTTTTGGTCTTAGCTGGGCTTTCTCTATGTGGCTGACAATGCTAGGGTTACATTTGTCTAGTCCTTGACCATAGAGGCAAGAGGAGAGCTTCCTAATTCTAAAGGAAAAGTCCTAGGAAAGGTTTTTTTATAGCTCTTCTCTAAACCAATCACTGTGAGCTGTGGAGAAGGTAATCTGATTGGTTGCCTTGGGTTATGTGTCTACCATTATGTTTAGGAGGTATGAAGGAGGTGATTAGGGAAGAAACCTCTGATAGGACCTATCACACATACTAAACCCTGAACTTTGAGGTTGTTTCAGTATCTTGGTTAGTATTGATAACCTTGAGAACATCTCGAAGGATGTTACTCCTATAGGATTTTTTCTTTATGAAAAACTAAAGTGTAATTCCTAGATCAAAGAGTATCCAACAGACATTCCTATGGTTCTTGCTGTACATTGCCTTATTGTTTTGCAAAAGAATTGTATCAAAGAAATAGCTTATAAAAAATGAGATCCTATTAAAATTTTAAAGTTCATTTATGCATTCAACAAATACTTGTGTGGCTATGTGCCTGGACGTATTTCCATTTTCAATTACTCAAATGATGCCTTTTCATTTAAACACTTTATTCAAATGAACTTTACAGAGATAATATAAATTGTAATCTGAGGCATTATCACCCACCAGCTGTTTATTTCATTTCCCTGAGTTTTGCTTTGTTCATCTCTGAATGAGAATATCTGCCAAGCTTTCTCCTCAGGGCCACTGAGGGAATCAAAGATGGAGAATGAGGGGACAAGGAGACAAGGTGCTCAAGGAGTGATGAGAAGATTTTGAGAAGCCAATAAGGTGAATGTGACAGGAAATTTAAAAACTGAGAAAATAAGCTTGTTGCACTGTAAAGCATGATATGAATATAAGACATTATTATTATATGGAGAGGTGCTGCAATAGCAGCTTTATTTTAGTGCCAAATAAGTCATATAAAAATGGCACAAAATTATAACTGTGGAAAATAAAACCGGGTTTTGAAATTCTGTCACCACCTTTGCAAAAAAACATAAGGAAAAAACATTTCTGAAAATGCCTCTTCCTTTAACTGAAAGTTCTTGTTACATTATGACCATTTTATTTTAATACATAGATGAAATGATGAGTTAATAAAAACGAGTGGATGAATTCATGTAGGTTGCTAACTTCCCTCCAAATCTGAGTTACACTGATGAACGAGAATTATTATCCAAGGCATAAAAAAACAAGGCATGTGAATTGTATTCAGGTTTTTGCATAGGCTAAAGCTTTTCAGGGTTAGAGCCATAGGTTTCCCCCATTGACTGGAATCAGTTTTAGAGATCATTTTGTTCAACTCCCTCATTTTACAGATTATTTTGGTGCCATTGCTTCAGCAAAAACTTTCAATATATACTTCTGTTTGGTTAATACTTACCTATCTATTTCAAAAAGACATGTTGTGGCAAATTTGAAAGGTACTTTACTAGGGAAACCATTAGAATTATTACAGAATAGGGGCGCCTGGGTGGCTTAGTCGGTTAAGTGTCCGACTTTCGCTTAGGTCACGATCTCGCAGTTCGTGGGTTCGAGCCCCACGTCGGGCTCTGTGCTGACTGCCAGCTCAGAGCCTGGAGCCTGTTTCAGTCTGTGACTCCCTCTCTCTCTGACCCTCCCCTGCTCACGCTGTCTCTCTCTCTCCTAGAAATAAAACATTAAAAAAAAAAAAAAAGAATTATTACAGAATAGTCCAAATTATTTAGGAAGCATTTTTATTATGGAATCACAAGATTTAAAAATAGTTGGCATTTATACTTGAAGGTTTATAAGATGCCTTATAAACGAAGGCCTCATTAATCTCTAAAATAAATTCACAGTGGTTTAGTTCCATTGTAAGTAGTGGTGGGAATGGAAAGCTAGAATCTCAACTCTATTGTTTAATTTCAACACATGGTTCAAAGATTTGCATACCATTGGGACCCACAAGCTGTACTGAAGCTTCTTTCTGGGGCTTGCCACATAGTGTACACTACTACTATGAAATGGTATCCATTGACTAAAAGACAAATTCTAGGGGCTCCTGGGTGGCTTAGTCGGTTAAGCGACCGACTTTCGCTTAGGTCATGATCTCGCGGTTCGTGGGTTCGAGCCCCGCGTCGGGCTCTGTGCTGACTGCCAGCTCAGAGCCTGGAGCCTGTTTCATTCTGTGATTCCTTCTCTCTCTGACCCTACCCTGCTCACGCTGTCTGTCTCTCTCTCTCTCCTAAAAATAAATTTAAAAAAGATTTAAAAAAATAAGAAAAATAAAAGACAAATTCTAGGAGAAAGGAAGATTAACTAAGAGCTAAATTATCATTTCTGCTAAATGTCATTTATTTAACTCATGCTTTATAATTTTGTCTTTAATTTTAGCATATGCAAATGTTGGCTCACATGGTTCTCATGGTAAGAAACAGAAGGTATATGGAATACAACTGATACCCGAATGATACCCAAACAGTTCCATTTATTGAGTCACAGATGACCTCAGATTAAGGTAAGGAAACAATTACAAGCAGATGTTTGAAGAGGGAACAGAAAATTCATGAACTAGCCAATTATCCTTCCGATAATATTAGGTATATTCTTTAGAAGTAAATAAAGCAAGTGACAACTATAATTACCGTCATGGTTTTGATTGAAGTATGGTGTGGAGGATAATTTTCTTCTAATTTAAATTTGATCATTAAAATTGTTGTGAGGCCTTGGGCAATTAACAGCACTTAATACAGACAGAGCCACTTGGCATAGCCACAAAGTCTGTAGGCTATGAAGTAGAACAGACTTGGGTTTGAGTCTAGACATGGACCTTTCATTTGTTACTTATGTTACTTATTTCATCCCTTATTTAACTTATATTGAGCATTATCTATGTATCAGACATTGCTTGGGAAATAAAGCTACAAAGCTACAGAAATGAATCACACATGATATTTGCCCTCAAGGACTTATATTTAGTGGCAAGAAATAGGCAACAAATAAACCTATAAAACAAGACTATTAAAACTACAAAATGGGAGTACTGTGAGGATTAAATGAGATGACATACATAAAATATTTGATACTGGCGCTAGCATGCAATCAGTATATAAAAAGTTTAGTTATTCTTCATTCAATTATTTATTCATTTTTTTTTTCAGTGCTAAATAAGTTTATGGCACTATTCTGGGCATTGAACAAAACTCAGGGTAGTATCAGCCAGCCTTCAAGGATTACCATATAAAAGTTGGAGGGAGAAAAGTAGAAGTCTGTGTTTCAAATACATAGATATCTCTGGCACAAGGAAGTATTGGATAAATGTAAGTGATCTAGAAGTTAGATAAGTGCAATAGAGAGACAAAAAGAATTGTATAAAAGTATTGCTACAGTAAATGCCTTGATTAAATTGGCTGTCACAGAAGTGTAATTTACCATTACACTTTACCATTAGAAGATTTGCACGCATTTCTCCAATAAGACTCATCACTCAGGTTTTGGAGGAAAGCCAATTTTGGAGTGACTCAGATTTAAAAATCAGTCTGACAAGAATGAAAGATAGTCAAAGGATCAAGAGGAACAAGAAAAAGCAACATTAAAATGTCCATCTTTTGTCCAAGTTGATGAATCTTGCTACAAAGGCAAGAAAAATCAGAAGGAGGTGACTGTCAAGACAGAGAGGGATTGAAGAATAGGGGTAATGGGGGATAGGAGGAGCATGTTCAGTGCTCAGAGAGCATGGACAGTATCAAAGGACAGAAGTTTGTGATCAGAGAAAGGGAACTCATAATCTCAAGGTATGACCTATAACTGTCTCAAGTGGTGGTTCTAGACAGTCATGTTAGGGGCCAGTGGTGGCAGACCTAAGTTATTCCACTCAGGTCTTCCTTTTTAAGAAAAGATGTGCTACTGAGCTTCAAGAAGTGCGGTTAGCTGACAGCTTCCATCTGTTAGCTTCTTCAAGATCTGCTTAACGTTGGAGCTGAGTTCACATTCTTCATGAGGTGACTCCAAACAATGCCTGAGTAAGGCAGTGGTACAAGGAACTAGCCATTCCCATCCAACACTCACTCCTTGAACACTGGCCACTGTTGTTCTGCTGCTCTCTGTTGGGCTAGCAGAGGAAGCATTGCAGTCTGACCTGCTCAATTCTGCTTAGTCCCCTTTTTTACAGGTGTCACTCCCTCAGAAAACCTTTTGTACTCTTAATTCCACCTTACCATCTGTTGCCAAAATAACCCATCTATAAACTTTAAAGTCTTGTCACATAGATTCTTATTCTGTCCTTATAATAATGGAGGTGATAGAGGTACCTTAGTACTCATGCTCTGCCTTACAAATAGAAAAACTGAAACCCAGAACACTTATCTGTGTTTACATTGGTAGGCTGTGCCAAAGTTATGCCAACATTTTCTCCAAATCTTTTCCAGTCCCAGTGCTCTTTACCTTGGAGATGTTAAGAATAATGAATGGCAATAAAAAGCTCAAAAGGAAGCCACAGTTGAGTATCTGCCAAACTTTTCAGTATTAGTATGAAGTTGAAATGCAAAACATCACTGTAGTGAAAAACAATCCCATACTTAAAGTAGTAGTACATTTTGATTAAAGAGGAGGAGAATTGGGGCTACTGGATGATTCACTTGGTTAAGCATCCAACTCTTGATTTCAGCTCAGGTCATGATCCCAGCATTATAAGATCAAACCCCAAGTAGGGCTCTGTGATGGGTGTGGAGCCTCCTCAAGATTCTCTCTCTCCCTCTCCTTCTGCCCCTCTTCTGTTCACACATGCTCACTCTCTCTCAAAAAAAAAAAAAAAAATGGGAAAAGGAAAAGAAAAAAAGGGGAATTAAATTATACAAATATTTTATTTCTATCACATTCTCATTTTAAGAGTTCCTTTTGTGTATATTCATGACAATCTTATTAAGAGTCTTTCAGGTGTTCCTTTGCCATCAGCGGATTGGAGCAGTCCAGTAATTTCCATCTCCAAGGGAGGGAGTACAATGCCCTTTTGAAATCACACAAACTATTTTACCATAAACCATAAAATTATCACCATAATTTACAAATAACTTCCTTTGCTGAAATCTGATCATTTTTCTTTCCTTCTCCATTCTTTAGAATTTTGAAGTAATAAAACATAAAACAAATTTATGGCATTAAATAAAATTTGAGGAAATATAGAAAAGTATACAGAGGACAATACAGGTTGCCCATAATGCCACTGGTCCACTGGTACATTTTGGCTTTAGACCTTTTAGTCTTCTACCAGTGTGTACACATATGTACATTCATTCCCTTACCCTAAACTTAACACCACACCATGCCCTGGAAGTTGTGACTATAAATAGCTTTAACCCAGGAAGTTCATCCAATTCAAAGCTCCTTTATATTGACATGTAATAAAGTCACTGAAATCCACCTCTTATGCCCAAAATGAATTAAAAATATGTAACTTCTTACATTTTAGTTCTCACAGAGTTAGACCTCAAACTCTGTTCCTCCATGTTTACCTTTTTGCCAAATCCTTGAATACTACCACTGTGGTCCTTGATCGAAGGGAAGCATATAAAAGATGACTTGGACATCCTTTTCCAATGAAGGAAGTATCACCTTTCAATAATCTGTTCGTGAAGGCCCCAACTCCCCCACCTCTGAGGTCACATTCTGAAGGCAGGTTGAGACAGACAGGATTCTTGAAATGACCTGGACAGAATGAACCTCCTGTAAATACCAGGACAAACAAGCTGTGGGAGGCAAGATTTTGAACAAGAACCATGTCTAGGTGACTCTGTCCAGTGGTGACTCATCACACTTAAGAATCCCATCTGCTTGAAGTTCACTTGTGCAGAGGCATTTGACTGAAAGAACTAAGCATTTGCTTAGATAATAACACTTGCTTTTATGTCACACAAGCATGTGTGTCTAAACAATGTTACTAATGTAGCTAGGCCACAGAAATAGTTTTCTATACAATATTTCTAAACTCGAGATGATAAAAAAGGAGTATGAAATCATAAGTACATAATTAGTGTAAGCAGTTGGTAAAATACAACAGACATCCACAGAACCAAAAGCTCTTCTTGATAAAAGGACTCTCAAGCAATCTTCCTAAAATTGCACCTAGCATGTCCCTGGGTCTTTTAAGGGACAGGAGCCTGGCAGCCAACATGCACCACTGCTTCCCATTAGAGTTACATGAGTGCCACCTAGTGTCACTTGTTAAAGCTGAAAGGGGTTTAGATAGACCTCTTAGACTTTCAATTTCCCTGATCTGAGGAAACCAAAGCCCTGAGCACAGAGGTGTTTGAGCAGGCTACATCTATTTGATTAGTGTCTGAGCCAGGCCTAGGAATTGGTTACCCTGCTTTACAGTTTCAGCTGGTGGTAACCTCTGGAGTTTGGGAGTCAGGAGTCCTGGTAGTTGGACTGTGCCAAAGAATAAAGCACAGCCTTCCAGGGCCTCTGGTGCCCCAAGCATTAAACTCCTAAATTAACATTTCCTTGTTCTTTCAGTCTTGAGACACACAAGTGATAGAGAGCAGAATCTGAAAGTTAGTATAATTCTCCATAGGCATTTAATCAGCTCCTCTCCTCCATGATCGACTGACCTCAATCCCGCTGTACAAGTAATCAAATTATTTCCTGCAAGCAAGTGCTCTGAAGTCATCAGCTTTAATTCAGGGATGATGCCTCCACTATTGTCTTTCAGGCTTTTTGCCTTTAGCCTCTAGCTTTTCAAATGAAGCAGGTCTGACACCTTCTGAGAGACCAGTGCCATTGGAACCATTCAGGCTTTGATTTCCAGAAACCGGGTGTTTTCCAGTTCTCCAGGTAGGGCAGTTTCAAAATTAATCTAGGCCAGTGGTTCTTAATGCTGTGTGCACATTAGTATCACCCAAAGGAACTTTTAGAACACCACTGTTCTTGGGTGTGATCCTAGACTAGCAGAGTCAGAATCCCATTGGGTGAAGTTCTCACATTGTTGTGTGTGGTTTTTGTTAAGCTAGCCCTGGGTTATTCCAATGTTTAGAAGATTGAAACTCACAGTATTGGGCCGAGCTTGCAATGAATAAGAGAATAGAAGAGCTAAAAGTAAGACAGGTGGGAGCTAGATTAGATAAGCTCTTCGACCCTGGGTCCTGAAGAGAACTGGGTATATACAAAAGGCTCAATAGATGGCTGTAGAAAGGAACTTGTTCAAAGGAAATGGTATAATAATATTGAAGGAATTAACAGTATACTAATTTTAGAATTCTCTTACCACCCTGCATAGGAAACATCTGTGAAGAACCACAGGTAAACTTCTAAGTAGAAGCAGGTAGACAGGACAATATAGAGCAGGAAGAAATATTTCAAACACGAATGTTATTAACATATACATCACCCTCTGCTTCCTTTCCCCTGTCCTATTTTTAATTTCTTGCTCCTTCCATTCAAGTCACATATAGTGTATCTAAAGACACATATAATTAAAGGGGGTCTGCCATGTTTCAAAAGGTTGCCCTATTACTTCTCTGAGCAGTGACCATTGAGCTGAGATGTGAAGAGTAAGTTGTATATATGTTGGAGTCTGTGTGTGTGTGGATGTGAGGTGATTTTTTTCAAGGCAGAGGTATCATGAGCAAAGTCTATATGTTGAAGGCTTATTCAAGGAACACAGAGGAAGCCAGTGTGAGGGGAAGGGGGACGTGGTATGAGAAGGAGCTAGAATGTTCAGGAGGTGCCAAACCAGGAAGGCCTTGTCCATTTGTTTTCCTACACTTATACACCACGTACCACTTTCTCTCATGCATTAAGTCCATCGTGTGTTCTCCTCTTTGCTTTGATCTACTTTTATGATCTCACCTTTATTATCACTGACTGATACTCCTTAGGAACTGCTGATCTCAAGAAAATCTGGTTTTCTAAAATTCCAAACTTTTATTGTTATTAAACATAGTACACACTCAGTTGAAAAAATTCTAACAATTTATAGATGTATAAAGTGAAAGTTCCCTCAAGTCCTATGTACCAAAAACTATAATGGTTAACAATTCTACATATTCGTTTAGACTTTTCCCTGTGGACATCCAAATGGATATCTCCATTTTTTGGAAAAGACAAAATACCAGATACACCATTCTGAAACTTGCTTTTTTTCCCAACTCTTGTTTTATTTAAAAAATTAAATGAAATGTTGAATTGTTTAACAATTCCCAGGGGGAAGTGATTTGCTGTTTGACCCAGCTTTTTAAGGCTATGTTGAACCAGAGTGGAATCTGGTGGAAGAGCTTTATTTTTTATTAACTTTTTCAGCTTTATTTAGGTAGAATTCACAAATAAATTTGGAAGATATTTAAAGTATACGTGGTGATAATTTGGCATACATATATACATTGTAAAAGGATTCCTCACAATTAGTTGGCACATCCTATAGTTTGTTTTTCATCATAAACATATTTCTATGTCAGTATACATAGCTTTACCTCATTCTATTTTAGCATCTATTTTTTATGTTATTTCATCAATAGATGTGTCATTCAATGATGGACAATTAGGTTGATTCCACTTTTTTTTTTTGCCATTACAAACAAAAGAAAACGTTAGTCAGCATCCTTGGATCTACTCTTGCTCAATCGTGCCAATATCTCTACAAGATAAATTCCAAAGGGAATGTTTCAATGAGTATGCATATTTTAGATGGTGAGTATTTCCAAATTCCCAACCAAAGCATCACACCAATTCACCTCTGATAGTGGCATAAGAGAGTGCCCATTGCCATTCTCTGTCTCCTGATTGCTGCCTTTCATTTTACAAAAATAACAAGAATCAGAGTTTTACCAAATTCAATCCAATTTCTGGGCCATGGCCTTGTTTACAATAATATACCTAATATGCCTAATATACCCCATTTACATCAAACGCCTATTCCCACCAGATCCTCTTCCTGAGAGCTCTGGTCCTGCTGTGACCATCATCTATCATCTGGACCACCCACCTGCCTCCCCACATTGTCTCTCATAATCTTTCTCTTCCCACAATCTTTCCACTTGCATTACTTTTCTTCCAGCTCTGTGGCTAATATCTCCACTTAGGGTCTTATTAGCTCCAATTTCTTCCACCTTCAATACAACCTGAACTCATGTCTACATTCATCTTTATGAAAGTCTCTCCTCAGAGTCCTCTCCAAGGTTCTCTCCTATTTGAGAACCTTTAATGTCTCTCCATTCCCTGCCAAATCCTGGCTGAGCTGTCTGTCCCATCATTGGCCTGCTCTTCCAACCACCAACATGCCTGCTGCTTTCCTGCATTTGATCAGGTCATTCCCTCCTTAAAGGTGTTTCCCATATCTTGGCCTGCGTAAACCGCATCTATCTGGGTGAACCATAAAGATACCTGGGGAGAGAGCTTTCCAGATAAAGGGAATATTGTAGTTGCAGATTATGTATAGCCTAATCAGACACTAAAAAGACTATGACTAGGCAAAATTTAAGGATTATAATTATGTAGGAGTACAGGCTTTGTCTCTAATGACAAATTATCATCAAATGCTTTGTACAAATCAATAATTTTAAAAATAATAATATTTTTATGGCAGGAAGAAATTTTTTGCTTTGAGCTAAAAATGATGGCTTGCCTCACTTTGGAAGGATTTCATTAAGCTGATGCAGAAGCATCCAGCTGAGCAATCATACCTACCTGTGATAATTAAGTAACAACCCTGAAGTAATGTCTTCCTTCTTCATCTTTTGTGTGTCGTCATTAACTTATTTCCTCATTTAATACAAACAGGACAATCATTTCTACTTCTAAAGTGCTTCTTAAGTCATGAAGATAGAAAACCACTTGCCTATTTAATTTAGCTTGAATTCAGACTTCATATTCATTCATTGCTAATTCATAGGGTCGTTGGGGGGATTGAGTGAATTAACAGAAGTGCTTAGAACACTACCTGGCACACAGTAAATGCTTTCTAAGCTTGCAGTAATAATGTTTTATGTATACATACTCTCCATTCATTCATTTATTCATATAGCAAATTACAGTTATGTATGCACTACTATGTCAGGCACTGGAAATGTAAACATATTAAACTCTTTCCAAGGATTTCATCTCTAGTGGAGAAAACAAATATATAACAACATGATTAAAGTGTGATAAATGTGATAATTGAGGTGTATATAAGGGGAAGTAGTAGCAAAAGGCAGAAATGAATAATTATGCTTGAGAGAAAGCGTTACAGACAAAATGATGCTCAAGTCTTATAGCTACACATAACCAGTTGAGAGAAGTTAGTAGAGTGTAACAAAGTAGAGGAAATAAGCTTTCACAAAGACATAAAGTCAGGGAGCAGCAGGGTATATCTGAGGCCTTGCAGAGTGACTGATGTACATATTATAAAGGAAGAAGGGAGAATACCTGTGTCTATGAGCGTATTGTATCATGATAAAGAATTTGAACCTTCTTTATAGAGTATGGTGAGCAACTGAAGGATTTGAGGTAGATTTCCATTTTAGAAAATATGCAGCAAGAGGCACAAATTCAAATACCTCTGAGGATAATGTAATTAACAAATGTGTAAACTGCGGTATGGTCTCAAGTGATGGGGAACGGTGGGGGAGACAAACTGGAAAGTGTATAAAGACATTCAAATGATTTAAAAAAAATAACCTTCTGGCTCAGTCAGGATAGCATGAGACTCTTGATCTTAAGAGTTGTGAGTTTGAGCCCCATGTGGGGTGTGGAGATTACTTAAAACTAAAATCTTTAAAAAAATAAAAATAACGACAAAATAAAAGCTGCTAAATAAATCTAGACTTGAGTGCTGCCAGTTTGAACTCCTGATATAGAGGCTATTGACTGCATAGGGGAGAGTGGAAGAAAGTAGAGACTAATTACAGAATCCCTTCATGTAAAACATAACAAGGAACAAAAGCAAGATAAGAGCTGCAGAAGTGAGGGACCTGACCTGACCTAGGTGTAGGGAAGAAAAAAATCCATAGACCCTGATGACCTATGGAAAGGAAGAAGGAAAGAGGCTAGGATAATTCCCGATTTTCTGGCTTAGATGACTGGAAACAAAGATAAAACCCTTTACCTCTACAGAAATGGCAGGGACTGGGGACCTAGGCAGACATGATGAGTTGGTTTTAGGAATGTTGAGTTTGGAGTATTTGTGGGGCATTCAAGTATAAGCTCCCAGTAGATGGCTAGATTTACAGATGGAAAATACAAAAGAAAGTACAAAAATACATATATAGGAGCTATTAGGTTATAGGTGGGAATTAACAACAGAGATGTAGTTGATACTGTACAGAAGAAAAGTATGGAAAAATTATAGAGAAGAATTTTTTAATCTAAATTTATAAAAATGATTTTTATCTATGCTAGTTTTCACATTCATTATATCCTAAGAATTTTTTTTCTTTGACTCTATATTCTTAAGTGAATTTGGCATGTAGAAATGACAGTGATAAAATGTACAATTTAGCATGTGTACTGGGCAAACCAGCCTGGAAATAACATATTCATAGAGATTATAACATACTTATGTTTTTTACACACATTGTTAAAAGGATATATCATGTAATTACATTCAATTATGTTAGGTGGCTCCTTACTATTTTATTTGGCAAGACAGACACCAAAAAGGATGAGTCCAAGAGTATGAGGTGAATGGAGACAGATCATACATAATGAATAGTACAACCATTGTCTAGAATGCTGTTTACAGATTGTGTGTGTAAGCCCATAAAAAGCAGTAAGATTTTAAAATTTAAGCTAATTCCAGCTAACATATTGTTTACTATCCCTATTTTCAACCAGCAGGGACTCAACCCTAATAAGAGCCTTTTGTCTAGAATGTTTGAAAACAAATTTGGAATGAGGAAGGGGTGAAACAGGATCCCACATTAAAGCATAACCATCACAGACCCAGGAATAGGTCAATCCCCATCAAAATGTTTACTTTGGGTCCATCTACATAACCTATTAAGAGTCAACTTCAATTAGCAAAGACAATGACTAGAAGGATAATGGAGGAATATAGTTTCCAGATCTTTTTTTTAAATCACTGTTTGCTTAACACTTTTAAGTGAATTAAAAGCAGATGTTGAAATTGTTGCCAACTGCTGACTTGTCATCTGTGAATGGGAATTCATTTGGTTTTGTTCATGATTAAATTAAATGTTAGGTTTCAGTAGTTTAAAGAATCTTGAAATGCAGGTCCTAATGGGATTTTAAAAGTTACAAATAACTGAAGTAATTCTGATCATTGTAAAGACATCTGTCCTTGTAAGATAAAAAGAAAAATTCCTGGAAAAGTTTAGAATTCTGAAACTCAAAAATCATTATTTTGAGACAGGAATCAATATTTTGATATTCAACAAAAACTTCTGAATACCATCTATACTGTCAGCCCTGAATTTGGTGTAATGAAGGCTACAAAAGAACTTGAAAATGGTTGTCATTCTCAAAGTGAAAGAATACAAGATGCTGTATGACTCCGTACCCACATTAGGGGGCCGTCAAAAGTTCAGAGGAAGAACAGCTGGAGGAGAGCTGAAATACATGAACAGGGACCCGAGGAACAGGTGAATGTACAGAATTTAATATTACCTCAAGTGGCAGTCAGGTTCTAAGAGGTCTCTCAGTGATTTTTACCTTTGGTTATTCAAGCCTTTTTGTAGTTTCCTCCCATGTTGAACAGAGCTGCCCTGTGTAACTGATAGGATATTTCAGAAATGATGAGTGTGTGGACTTTTTGAGGCTAGGTCATAAAAAATACTGTGGTTTCAATCTTGGTCTCTCTTAAACTCTCACTCTAGGGGAAGCCAGACTCCATGTTAAGAGGACACTCAAGCAGCCCACGGAAAGACTTATCTGGAGAGGACTGTGGGCCGATAGCCAACACCAACTTGTCAGGCATGTGATGAGCCAATATGGAAGTGGATCTTCCAGACCCAGTGAAGCCTTCAGATGCTTTCAGAAGCCTCCAGATAACCTCAAGACACCCTGACTCAGAGCATCCACTTACCTGCTTCTAAATTCCTGACCCACTGGAATTGTGAGATAACAAATGTTTTGGAACATTGAGTTTTGGGGTAATTTTTAAAGTAGCAATAGATTAATATAATTTATTAGGTCTCACCTAAGAATGCATAAAAATCAAGAAGAGATTGATAAATATGAATAAAAGAACAAGAGTTGTAATCATTCCTTTTTTAAAAAATGCTATAATAAAAAATGCTATAATAATATTATAACAATCTCTTCTACACTAATATAATAAATGACCACACAGATCAGTTCACAATCCCTACCTTCCCTGATCCCAACCAGCTGTAAAGGTGAATGAACTCATCCATTCAAAAATACTTCAAAAAAACCCACAAAGCCCTGAGTTCACTTAACAAGTATTTATTGAGGATAAACTATGCATCCATCAAAATATGAATTAAGTACACATACTAAAATATAAATTACATAATTATATGGCATAGCACAGCACAGAATAGATGAAAAATATTTTTGTTTTCTATAATTTCATTTAAAACCAAGAAACTTAAATTTTCCCTTTATAAAAATTGCAACTTGATTTTGTCTAAAGATAATATGGCATAATTCTACACCTTCCTATTTGGGTGTGGGGATACAATTAGCTACACAAATGCAGGCAAGTAACACACCCTATGTGGATGACTGGGTGTGCCTTTTTTGGGACACACATCTTGAAATGGCTATACTTTACAGAGATCCAGAAGGTCACCACAATTAGTGTCACTTTAGTATAGCATTGGGCCTATAAAATAAGATTCCAACTCCCTCTGCTCCAGAGGGATATAAAGAATTACAAGAGAGGCACCTGGATGGCTCAGTCGGTTAAGCGTCCAACTTTGGCTCAGGTCATGATCTCACAGTTTGTGGCTTCGAGTCCCACTTCGGGCTCTGTGCTGACAACTAGCTCAGAGCCTGGAGCCTGTTTCAGATTCTGTGTCTCCCTCTCTCTCTGACCCTCCCCTGCTCACGCTGTCTCTCTCTCTCTAATACAAGAACAGAAAGACTTCCTAGTATCATTGGTGAAATCTTAAAACTAGGAGAAAAGAGAAATGTAAGAAAATACAGACAGATGATTTCATAATAAAGTCTTTTCTGGCTCTTGAAAAGGGCTTTTACAAAAATGTTTATTTATTTTTGAGAGAGAGAGAGAGAGAGAGAGAGAGAGAGCGCACCCGTGCGCATGAGTAGGGGAGGGGCAGAGAGGGCAGAGTGAGAAGGGGACAGAGGCTCTGAAGCAGGGTCTGCACTGACAGCAGCAAGACTGACGTGGGGCTCCATCTCATGAACTGTGAGATCATGACCTAAGCCAAAGTTGGATGTTCAACCTACGGAGCCACTCAGGCACTCCAGGGCTTTTTTTTTTTTTTTTTTTTAAGGCAGAGATCCACTACTAAAATTTAACAAATTCTACTTGTAATCCTGACTGGGAGGGAGGGGGGTGGGATGACCAGGGGAAGGGCAGGGGGAGGGGGAGAAAATCCCAAGCAAGCTCTGCACTGTCAGCACAGAGGCCAGTGTGGGGCTTGATCCTACAAATTGTGAGATTATGACCCAAGCCAAAATCAAGAATCGGACTCTTAACCGACTGAGTCATGCAGATGACCCCCATACTATTTTTTTTAAAGCACATAACAATTGAGGCAAATGGCCAGACTCAGATTTGTTTTAAAGCACAAAATACTCAGAAGTTCCACCCATAAAAATTTGCAGCCAGCTAGAAAATTATCCTGTGTCCATAGTGTGGTCCTTGTCATCTCAGGAAGTGAGGTGTTTTGGGGAAAATGCGGACAAACCAGATTCAAAGCAAGAAGAAGAGCTTATGATAAAAGACAAACAAAAACAACCCATCAACCAGAAGGTCAATACTAACTCAGCAGCCTGGAGATTAACAACTGAGTGTGGTGCTGGCCCTTCCAGAAGAGCAGGCAAGATGAGGGGAAAGTGTGGATGACCCTGGTCCAGAGCAAGAGAAGGAGGAGACAGGGCTTATGGGCGGCCCTGTCCTACCACTGAGATCTGCGGTAACTGCAGCTTGGATGTTTACCAGCCAAACATGGGCAAACACCAAATACCATGGAGAGTAAACCAGTAGAACTTATTCAGAGGAGCCAAAGGCATACCAAGTTTCAAGGACTTCACCTAATAACCAGACTCCTAGAATTTCCACCAGAGGAAGAGGATGTCATCTTGGTGAATACCATGAACAGAGTCAACTCAGCAGAACACAGAATAGGTTGATGAGTAAAGAACAAATGATATAAATATTCCAGAAAATATTATTAAACAATTTCAAGTGAAATCCTGTCCTCATTTGGGTTATACATAAATATCATAGTGACCCTATCTAGGACTGGCTACATAATTTGTGGGAGGCCCAGCGTGAAATGAAAACAAGAGATCTCCTGTTCAAAAATCATTAAGAATTTCAAGATGGCAATAGCAGAGCACTAAACCAAGTGCAGGGCCCTTCTAAGCATGGAGTCTTCTGTTGTGGCACAAGTTTCATGCTCATGAAGCTGACTCTGGCCCTATTAAAAAAGAGTGGAAGACAGAAGTTTTGACTTTACTTCTACAGTGACGAACTGCTTGAAATGTCAAGTGATATATTTTTAATGGAATAATTTTTTTTTTTTTTTTACCACATAGAGTATAAAGCAATCACTGATTTACTAAACATGGGGGCACCTGGGTGGCTCAGTCGGTTACGCATTTGACTCTTGATTTTGGCTCAGGTCATGAACTCACAGTTCTGGAGTTTGAGCCTCACATTGGGCTCTGTGCTGACAGTGTGGAGCCTCCTTGGGATTTTCTCTCTCTCTCTCTCTCTCTCTCTCTGTCCGTCCCCTGCTTGTGCTCATATGCTCTCTGTCTCTCTCCCTCAAAAATAAATAAATAAACTTTAAAAAATTGTACTGGGGCACCTGGATGGTTCAGTCAGTTGGGCATCAGACTTCAGCTAGGGTCATGATCTCGCAGTTAGTGAGTTCGAGCCCTGCGTCAGGCTCTGTGCTGACAGCTCACAGCCTGGAGCCTGCTTTGGAATCTGTCTCTCCTCCCGCCCGCCTCCCCCCCCCCCGCCCCTAACTCACTCACATTCTCTGTCTCTCTCAAAAATAAATTTAAAAATTGTACTAAACTTGAGTTACCGTTGAGGATTAGAAACACATTAAGCAATGAACAACTGCTTGTCAAGTCACTGACTTAGTAGTTTTTAAAACTATTTTAGAAAAGCTTCTGAAAACCCATTGACAATTGAAGGGCCATAGAGGAGGTCTTGAAGTTAGGATGATAAATTGACCTAGATTCATGCCTTTTATTCTCTTTAGGTGGTTGTCTTCAAAACTCTCATTCCATGTTAAAGGAAATTTTCCCACAGAAAGATTGAACAGCGCAAAAAGATCCTGGGCTTGGAAGTGGTGGAATAACATGTGGCTCTGTATTATCCCCTTTTTTGGAAAGAGAGTGAACATGGTTTTGGTTGTTAATGAAATGGCTGGACTACGTTTTGTGCTTATTTAATCAAATAGTTTTAAAGTATGAAAAAAAAAATGTATACCAAAGTATAGACTCTCTAAGGAATACTGAACACCTATTATACTACATTTCTCGGCTAGAGATTCCACAGGTAACAAGTTTGTCCAAACCTCTGCACTAAGAGACCTGACCAAACTCCAGCATGGTTTCTAGCAACTTAATGCCATGTCCCGAGGAAGACTCTAGCCCCGCCATGGAAACCTAGCTCCTCATTAAAATGCTTGATTGAGAAAGTTCAACTACCAAGAGCCAGCCCTGATGATGGGTTCCTGACCTCTCTTTCTTGGAGCTTTAGAAAGACCTTAGAATTGTACATATGTTTCTCTTATGACTCAGAAGTGTCCCTCTCAGGGACCTGAGATTCATTACTTTGAAATGTAATCATGGGAAGGATAGGGCTGCTGTCTCCCAGCGTTTGTGGGAGGATAGAATCCCCACTTCAAAAATTGCCAGCTAGCAGACACAGCTGGCTTAATCACACTGGCTAACTCTTTGTAATTTTTCACTTCTCTGACTCTAATGAACCCCCATTCTCTCCACTCCCTCATTCTCCCTTTAAAACCTCTAATCATCTCTGCACCAATTGGAATGGAGCTCTGCTCTTTCCCCTACTGTCAGTAGTTTCTGAATAAAACCTGTTTTCACTGCTTTAACTATTGTCTGGCTGTGTGAGAACTGCCATTCCAATTTTTCTATCATTCCCCTTTATTTTCTAAAGCAGGTTTGCGTCTATTCACAAAAAATATATTGTCTTGCCACCAAATATAAATAAAACCATACTTTACCTATCCTTCTGCAATCTCTTTCGTTCATTTAACATATTTTTCAGATTTATTCATAGTGTTGCCTGCATCTCTACTTCATTGATGTTGGTTCCACGGCTTGCAAAACCATTTCCCTACGTCCATCCTCCTGGGCTTGTATACACCAGTAACGGTCAAGGGGAGACAAGACGCTAGTGCTCTAATGGTGGCGGTGGTGACTTAAACCAAGCTTGGATGTGGAGGCCGAGGTGCCCATACATGTGGAACGAACAAGAAGTAGGGTGGGAAGAGAAGAAACGAGGTAGCTCGGTTTGGAACTCCAAGGGTTCTAGAAATCTAAACGTGGATTTGACTTTGCCGGGTATTAGGAAGATATATATACAAAGGCGGGAGGCTGGAGCATATTTCTTTTACCTTTTTAGCGCCTTTTTCCCCCCAAACAACTTTCAAGTATTCAGACAGAAAGTAGGGGGCCTCCATTTGACCGCGACCCACAAATAGGGGTGGGCGTGACCTTTCCCTACACCCAACTCTTTCCCCAAACCCAGTTGTTAACAGTAGGAAACCACTGAAATGTTGCTATCCTCCTACGCTCACCTTTCCTGTGGAATTCCCCCCTCTCTTCCTCTCTCCATTAGTTAGGACTCCCAATGCTAAGTACGACGCCAAGATGCACTGAAGAAGCCAAACGGACGCTAAGAAACGACGCCCACAAGGGCCTTTTACCAGGTCACGCTCCTTCATCAAGCTCCGCCCACGCCATCCGCCCAGTCCCCGCTGCATGCCGGGACATGTAGTCTTTGAAGGGGCAGCGGCTTTGACCGAGT